TCTCTCTCTCTCTTTCTCTCTCTCTCTCTCTTTTCCCCAACTCCCCAACTCGAGAAGAGAGAAGAACTCGAACGAGAGGGAAGGGAGGAGGAGGAGGAGGAGGAGGAGAAAGAAGAAGGAAACGTTGTTGACGAATTCGGGGGAGGGGAGGGGAGGGGGAAGCCGATCGAGAGAGAGAGAGAGAAGAGGAAGGAGTGGGGAAAGTGTAGTAACTCGAGGAGGACACTCGCTCGATTCGTCCATTTCGATTTTTTTTTTTTTTAACGACGATGACATTATCCTGAAACGGGCATGACGCCCCTGGCCTCGAGATGCGACGAGACCACCACCATCCTGCTGCTTCTCCTGCTCGAGCTCGCACCGGGTGCACGCTGCTACTCGCGCGCTGCTACCACCGCGCCCGCCCCGACTCTGTCGAGATAGCATCTACAGTCGACGGCGAGGGTGCGAGTGATGCCGCCGCTCCTCGACACCATTATGACCATCGACGCCGCCGGTAGTCCGACTACGGCGTCCAACAGCGTCCTCGACGAGAACATGACGTGGTCTCGACCAACCGGTGGCTCTACGTCTTCCGCTAACGAGGCACACGCGATCGACACCGCCATCCTCACCGACGACCACCACCGCCGACGAATACTCGGTTCCACGACGACCCTCCACGTCGATCGTGGCACCGGCCGAATCCCCACTACTACTATCCTCCCATCGACCGATCCATCGACCGAGGAGGAACCATCCGACTACACGACCGATTCGATCGTTCCTCTTCCGACCGACCGCCACGACCTTTCCACCACCGAGAGGGGGGCAGGAGGAGGACGGGAGGACTGTGCCTGCGGCCAGGAGGGCTCGATCGGACTGCCCTTCCTCGTGGCCGGCGAGGATTTCGGAAACGCGAGCGTGGGCGGTAGCTCGACGAGCCTCGACGAGGAGACGAGCACGAGGGGGGTTGGTGGGGCGAGCACGAGCACGGAAGACGTGGAAGGATTAAGGGAGTTGGAAGTGCTGTTCGGGTTGAACGGCATAATGGAGGACCTGGATGGGTCGTTCAACGACTCTTTGAACGAGAGCCGGCTATTGTTCCCGTGCAACGGTAGCCTGTGCAACGAGACGTACGTGGTGCTCGGGGGCAGCCTGTACCCGTCCGGGTACACGATTCTGCAGATAGTCCTGGCGTCCGTCCTTGTCACGCTGTTGATGATCGTGATCGTGGTCGGGAACATGCTTGTGATAATCGCGATCGCGACCGAGAAGGCGCTCAAGAACATACAGAACTGGTTCATAGCGAGTTTGGCGGTGGCCGATTTCTTCTTGGGCCTGGTGATCATGCCTTTCTCGCTGGCCAACGAGATCATGGGCTATTGGATCTTCGGCTACTGGTGGTGCGACATCCACTCGGCCATGGACGTGTTGCTGTGCACGGCGAGCATCATGAACTTGTGCCTGATAAGCTTGGACAGGTACTGGAGCATCACCCAGGCGGTTGATTATCTGAAGAAGAGAACCCCCGCAAGAGCGGCGCTCATGATCGCCCTTGTCTGGCTCCTCTCCGCCCTCGTTTGCATCCCACCCCTCCTCGGATGGAAGAGACCCACGCCGGCTGAAGAGTATCCCAAGTGTAAGGTAAGCGATTTTCCTTCTTTCAGATTTCAGAGGGGTTGGAAATATTTACAAATATATACATCGTGACGTACGCCGATGTATATACGCGAGTGATTCTTATATACACTTTTATCCTATTTTTCCGAAATCGAATCGATCCCTTCGTTCGACTTTTTTTAAATCATCGTTAAATTTATAAATGATATTTCATACAAGGAGCTTCTGATACTAATTTGAAAGCAAACCAAATACCGTGTACATCGAAAACTGCTATTTTGAAAAACGACGATAGGTATATTACAGAAGAAACAGATGTAACGTGGTGGCCTGGCAACCAATGTCCCGATATAAATTTGTCTCTTATCAATTGCGGTACGGTAAAATGGGCGGCGATCTTATCCTGGCCGAGATGCAGCTGCTCGAGTCAGAGTTCCCGGGAGTGGTTAATGTTTAAAACACAATTTACTCGGTCGTATTTGAGCGAACAGGGGCGGGTAATACAAGAGTTAATTATTTCCTCGAAACTGGTTGTTAGGTGGAGGAGTAGATGGTCGTTGCAGATGACAGATTACGAGGTCGTGTTTCGTCTTCCAGACCAGGGATTAAATCGGTCGTAACGAGGAGGAGGAGAGTAACGCTCGAGGAGAAAAGAAAGAGAGAGAGAGAGAGAGAGAGAGAGAGAAGAAAGAAGAAAAATAACGAATAAAAAACGGAAGGAAGAAATTAATATCTCGTTCGAGGAGGATAAGTTAT